GTGAAGTACCATCCCTCTCTCTATTTATTTTTTAGATAAAAGGAAATAAGATGGCTGAAGTGAACACCAATAATAGAAATTGAAAATAAATGTAAACCAATGTATTTTAAATAATCAATTAAGAGACAAACACTACCAAAAAGCAACTATTTTAGATAAGAGCCCCGTTCAAATATGTTTCCTGAATGCACACACTATAAGCTTGATCGTCTATGCCTGTCTGCACGCACTATCCTGTAGTCAGAGTTTTTAAAAAAAAGAAAGAAAGAAAACAAAAATTAATTAGTTGCTAACCTCGACTCAGGGCTTCAGTATATTGGTCTCATGTTAGTCAGTCAGCACACTGAATGCTAAGACCAATATTATTAAATAGGTGAGGAAAGAGACAGAGTAATGCACAAAAGTTTGCTCAGTAGGACAGAATTAAGAAACCACTATCTGCCACTTAGGCTCATAGACTCAGTTTCAGCTCCTCGCCAGTGACCAAATCAAAGAAGACCATATATTTGGGAAAAAAGGAAAATGGATTTATTCAAAGGTATTTGTTAAATAATGGAGGAGCCTACTCGCCTGTCACCACCTCTCCATGCACAAGTGGGCAAGACTCTTTTATAGTAAGTAGAACAGAGAGGAATACAGAGAGATAATGCAAATCTCCACACTTGCTTTACCACTTTTAACCATCTTTAGCTCCCATTTTTCCCTTTATGTAGAAAGGCTCCAAGCCTCCTAATTTTAGAACTGTATATTTTGTTTATTCATCTGAGGAGAAGTGGCAGAAGCTGTTTATGCCTCTGGCCTCAGGAACACACTTCTTTCCAAAGGAAAAAACGTAACTGTTACATTTTTATATATGTAGTGTGGGTTAGAATTCCTCCTTGATTATTTCAGCCCTCAATGTTGCAGACCTTGAAGTGTCCCAGCACCTGGCTGGCTGGCTCACGTCGGATTGGTGTGTTTCTTTCATCAGTGGTAACCGGAGTATAAGCAAAGGGGAATCTGATGCTTGAGCCTGAAAAAGCATCACACTAAAAATTGTGAAGTCAAATAGAAAATAAAACCAAAGTCAGGAGATATGTAACCATCACACCTGTTGGAAGGGCTTTTTTATGTTTAGAAATTCATGTGTGGAGCCCCTTTTATCAGCTTTGCAGATCTACGCGTTGTAGTAGTGTTGTCACACAGATGACTTCAATGTTCACAGCTCCTCGGCCCCCACTCCCATGTGCATGTGTTTCTCCTTCTCAGAAAGCACTGCCACCTTACCATCTGCAGCCTTGTCCCAGGGGCCCTGGTAACTTTCCCTGGTGATCGTCAGTCAGAACATGTCCCACATTGAAGAAGTGTGACAGACTACTGACATCAGTGTCTTAACACCTTGCCAAATTTGAACAAGGTCAGAGTTTTAGAAAGAGGGGCCTTCAGGCTAAGTTTATCTAGAGTCAGCTGCCAAGTTTAATCTTATTCTGTAGTCAGCACGCTAAAACCTGAAAACTGTGATACAGTTTCAAAATTTCTAAGCAAGAATAAAACAAGGCACTAAGAGCAAAGCAAGTCCTGTCTGTATATTAGACTTGAACTAAAGAACATAGTGACCAAACTAATTGAAGAAAGTCAACAATCCTGTGAGGCAAGCTTAGTTTTATGAGAAAGATGTGTCAAACAAATACTTAAGAGTCACCTCTTGCAAACTGATGTGAACGACCATTTTGGGAAAAGCTCACGATTTACTAATCCTAAGACCAAGAATTATGGCTTAGTTATGTCTTAAGGATTTTTAGGCCCATATACAAAACTGTAAATAATTTTGAACAAAGTGTGCAAAAATTAATATATATTTTACCAATTTAGAACATACATTTTTGAGCAAGTTCTCTTTTGCAAGAGGACTATGGCTTCAGTTAATTATATTGAATTTGGGGATATAAATTTAACTCCCAACCTGCTAGATGTTAGGTATGCTAAGTTCGTGTTCTCCAAAATTGAAGAATAAGTTCTAAAGAACCACAGAGATTTAAGAGTAGAAAATATTTATCGAAGAGGGACAGATATAGCTCATAAGATAGGAAGGGCCATGGAAAATTTGTTGCTATGGACCACATTTTACAGAGTAAGTTTCATAGAGCAAAATCATGAGGTGGATACAAAATTATGAGATGAGCACAATGTAGGACAAAATTATGATCAACCAATAAGATTACAAGTTTAGCCATTTAGGTAATATTGATCCAATGGGGAGACAGGTCACTTAACAAGTACATGGAAAAAACCGGGACCTTTTAAAGGAAGAGACCAACCAGGGGATTCTGGCCACCCAAAGGAGTGATAATGTTAATGTTAATTTATTATTTATCTCTCAAAGAGGCAGGTAGGCCTGGTCATTTTGTCCTTATCTTGAGGTCTGGCCTTTCAAAGATGCTTGCACACACAATTATAATGTGTTTTCATTTTGTGTACTGACTCCCTCAAGGGAGTCTGCCTCCTTCCTTGTCTGACTGCCTATAATATCTTTACCTAGCTCAGCTGTCTGTAGCATTCCCCCCTCTGAAGAGGTACCCCTAACTCCCATGAGGTGGCGAGGTGTAATTACTGTTCTAGCTACATCTTGTTGAAGCGGGTCATGGTTGGGATTGGCAGGCAGAGATACTTCACAGAGGATCTATCTAAAGGCCCTCAATAGATACCAAGCATTCTTGTCTCAGGTAGGCATATAGCTTTAAGTCTAGAGGAGACAAAGCCAAAGAAAAAGTTAAGTATGTATGGGCCAAATAATAAGATCAACAAGACTTTTATGAAGTATAATCAACACATGTTTCCACCAGGAAGAGCCAGTAATAATGTCTTACAAAGAAGGTAAGAAAAAAGTCTAGGGAATTTTAGAGTCTGACATAGCATTAACCTTTCATTTAATATCTTGAATAGCCATCAAGATATTCGCAGAAGAATCAAGAATGTACACACAACATTCAGCTTTTACATGTGTACAAGGACCCCATTGTGCTGCTGTTAGAATGTCTAATGCCATCTGATTTTGGAGGACAGCTTGCCTCATTAATTGTATTTTTTCATTTAGGGGAGAGAGACCAGTCGAGGTATTATTTAAGGCCTGTTAAGACTAGTTAGCCAAGGCCTCAGTATGTTATATGACATCCTCTAATCCCAGGGAAGAGACAAAGATAGAAGCCAAATGATCATGCCAGTGAAACACACTTCTAGACCATCGATGTCTACAAGTATTTAGATTGCTTGATACTTCTGATACTGCTTCTTTGAAACATGCAAGTCCCTGCATGCATCTCCCTATCCATCCAGGGAGTAGCCAGGGCCACAAATTGTTTCCACAGAACCAGTGAGTGCCATTAAGGGGTTGCCATATAATTCCAGGGTGATTAAACCAGCCTGTTATAGAGTAATCTTAAACCTATAAAATTAGTGTGTGTGTGTACACTGGGGGAAGGTAGTGTATTTCAAGTATTTAGTGAGTTAGACCAATGGCAAGTGATTTTTGTTGTTGTTGTTGTTCCCAACACAAGGGGGCCATTTTTACTCAGTTGTCCTACAGTTGGAGTTAACTATATATAATTGTCCCATATCTGAAAGTAGCCATCTTTGTATCTTTGTTGCCTCTCATGATAGGACACTTACTCTTTAGTAGTGGTTCTAATAGAGTGTGTAGTGAGGCTTCAGTGGCATTGTTAGAAAAGAATTCAATTACGTCCATGGTCATTAATGGTGTAATTTATAGGCCTCTCAGTTACCATGTAATTCTGGGCTAAACTATGAACCATTGACCTTTTTTGTGTTTCATCAATGTAGTCTTGTAGCTCATTCTAATTATCTCCTTGAAGTGGGGATACCCACCAAGGAAGTCTTGATGTATTTGACAACTGGTAGGACACATATCTATCATGGTGTTTGTTGCAGTGACTCTGCATATTCCTGTGCTCACACTAGAAAGCAATTGCATTCTCCTTTAACTGGTAAAGTAACTAGTAAAAAGGATGAGATTAACATCTTAGAATACTTACCTAAAGACTTTGTGAGGGCTGGGGATGTGGCTCAGTGGTAGAGTTCTTGCCTTGGATATACAAGGCCCTGGGTTTAATCCCCGGCACCACACACCAAAAAAAAAAAAAAAAAAAAAGATTTTGTGTTTTTCTTGAAGAAGAATTTAAGTCTTCTATGGGTTTACAGGAGTACTCAGATGGTCACTCACACACTCAGTGACAGTCTCTGGTTCCCAGGGCTTGAGTAAGATGTATGTCCAGCAGTCCAGACTTGCTGTCTTGACAGCTGATGGAGTTGACAGGGCCATGGTGTATGTTCCTTCTCAAGTTGGTCTTAAGGAAGGAGATGATGAGGGAAGAGACTTTACCAGTACTAAATTTCTGGGGTTCCATATGGGATTTTTCTTTTTTCTTTTTTAGGTATTAGCTGTTGAAGAGTCTATTGGAATTTAGCCAGTGAATTGGCATTTTTTAGTAAAGCATCCATTTCTTTATTGAAAAGAAAATCAGTAGTGAAAAAAGGCATCCATAAAGCATTTTAAGTGGACTAAGGCCTAGGATTTGAGGTATATTTCTTACTTTGATAAGTGCTAATGGTAGTAAGTGAGGCAAAAAAAGAGAGAGAAATTTCTATGATTTATCAGAGCAATTCTTTGATATTGATCTACTATAGTTTTTTTTATTTGGTTGTTGATCTTGTAGGCTTCCTGTATGAACCATGCTTTAGAGATAATGTAGAAGTGAGATGGCCTTAACCTGAAGAAGAACCAATGTTTCCATTCTGCTATTACTCTACCAATGACTTCTAATCTACTATGAAAATTCCTGTGTGAGACATCCATGTGGCTGTAGAAGAAGTGATTGATGACCAAGATATAAAATAAACATTAGGAGGATCTGGCCTCATTTTAGCTTGTTATGAGTAAACATGAGATGCTTCATGTTGTTGTGAAGCTCACTCTTCTTTTTGGAAATCTATGTCTGATGATTTAGGAGGCAGTGACCTTTGAGGATGTGGCTATGACCTTCACCAGGGAGGAGTGGACTTTGCTGGACCCATCCCAAAAGAAGCTCTACAGAGATGTGATGTGGGAAACTTTTAGGAATATGTCTACTATAGGTAAGAAATGAATCATTTTTTCATTTATGAAATCAGAGAGCATTATTTGTTGTGTATCAGTGCAGTTGCCTTCATTGGAAAATGGAAACATTTTGATGAATCTGCCAGCCATGGGCACATTTTACCAAAGAATTTGACGAGAATCTATTAATTTTTATATAGTCTAGTAATTCATATTACATTTCTTTTTTTTTTCATATTAATTTCTGTTTCTACACTTTAGAAAGAAACCACGATGCTGAGCAAATTGAGGATGAGTACAAAAGTTGCAGGAGAAATCTAAGGTAATTTACAGTACATAAAAATGTTCCTGAAGTGTCAGGGTGTGAGTAGAAATATTAAAACCAAGTGTACTGTACAAGTGTGGCTGTGTTCAAATTTCTTGAATCTCACCCAATTTTTCCAAAGATACCTACATGTTGAATATTATAACCTGACAGTTGAATATTTAAATTATTCTAATATCTGAAACTTAGGGAGCACTGACACTGTCACTAGTGACATTATCTGATGTATCAGAATAAACAAATTATTTTCTTTACTCAAGAGTATAGAAATGTATATGATATTGCATTTAGGAGTTGATAATAGGTGCATGAAACAAATTTTGTATTTAGACTATGAATCACATTCAGGACATCTAATTATATATACATGCGAGTATTTTATAAAGATCACTTTGCCATGAAACAAATTAAGTAAGGAATGCTAGATGTATTTAAATATGGTATACAGTTCACCTATTTGCAAAGTTGCTAACACTGTGAAAGTACTGTATTCAAAATTCAAATGAATGCCCCTGTTATCATAGTAGCTATTCTCAAACAATTCTTCTTAGTAATCCATCCATTAAAGTTCTATAATATTAGAATGCACCTTCCTATATTATTAGTGTTAATGTCATTGTAGTATAACAGCTGTGGAAATGCGTGAAGAGTTGTCCTAAAAATGTAAAAATAGACAGTTTATTTTACTTATTACTAAATTCTCCCCAATAGTAAAGGAAACAGGTTACAGTAGTGCACCTATACCCATGTGTCTTAGTTACTTTTCTCATTGCTGAGACAAAATACCTGACACCAAAATTTAAAGGAGGAAAGGTTTATGTAGCTCACAGTTTGTAGAGGTTTCAGTGCATAATTAGGTGGGTCCAAGTCAGGGTGGCTTCACAGAGGGGCATCACAGAAGAGAAACAGTTTATGCCGGTGGAAGACAGCAAAAGAAATGGGGGGGGGCTTTTTTATTCCTTTGTGTAGTATCCAGTCTACGTGGATTAGTGTGGTACCAGTTCAATCAGTGGATTGATCTAGCAATCATCCACCCTTAATCTTAGCACTGTTAACCCCAGCATTGCACTACAAATCACTCACTAGATTCAGCTACCTCTGAAAAACCTCTGAAAAGGCTTTGGGGGGACATCTGGATACAAACTATAATATTCTGTTCCTGGCACCCCAAAGACTCATGGACATCTCTTTATGCCAGTGGCATTTAGTCTGTTTCTTCTCAAAGCAAAGTCTTTCCCTTTTCAATTTTGAGGCTGCAAAGGGTGGCCCTCAGGCTATCTTCTCTATTCTCCTGTTCCTTTTCACCCATGAAGATCTCCTCTGCTCTACCTTTGCATCCACAGCTTGACTTCAGCTTGCTTTCTAACCAAACTTACAGCATTTTAAATCATTCTGCTGGGCCCTTTTCTCCTGATTGTCAACATAAATCTGGCTAAAAGCCCCCAACAGTAGCCATGCCACTGCTTCAACATTAGACTTCCTTGAAATTTCTTCTGCCAGATTAATTATTCCCCCCCCCCCCCAACTTAGTCTTAGTCTTAGGTAAAGTCTCTGGACATGAGCAAAATGCAGACAAACTTTCTCCCAAGCCATAACACACATCATCTGGAGTCTAACAGCCAATGCAGTACTTCTTCCTAGTAGAAGCTGCCTGAGCCTGGTCTTTACTAGCAGGATTTCTATCACCCTTCTGGTCTTCTAAGCTCTGACAAGAATTTCCCATACAGAATTTCCTAAGGTGTTCCAGCTATACTTATTCAGCTGATATCTCTGAACCTCTCCTAACTCTTCCCACAAGCTGTTCCCAAAGGCTCCTGAACCACATGGTCAGCTATTGTCACAACCATGACCCCACTTCTATGGTACCAACTTCTGCTTTGTTACTTCTTTTGATGCTGAGACAAAATATCTGACACCCAAAGTTAAAGGAGGAAAGATTTATTTAGCTCACAGTTTGTAGAGGCTCCAGTCCATAATTAGCTTGGTCCAAGGCAGAATGGCTTGGCAGAGGGTATCCCAGAGGAGAAACAGTTCATGGTGTCAGATGACAGTAAAAGCAATGAGGGAGAGGGAAAAGGAGAGGGAGAGAGAAGAGAGAAGAGAGAATGTGAGCTCTTTCTGTCTTTTATATAGTATCCAGTCTACTAGGATTACGTTAGTGCCAGTCCAATCAGTGGACAGCAATCACCCACCTCTAATCCCAGCACCCTTAATCCCAGCATTGTACTAGAAATCAACCACACACTCTAGATTCAGCCACCTCTGAAAAACCTTTAGCTGCATGAGGTTATGGGGGGATATCTAGACGCAAACCATAACATCCTGTTTTTAGTATGTGGAAAATGTTGTATGACATGGAAAAAACCTAGAAGTCTATTCACACTTGTGTACATTAAGGAAATATGGGATAATCCAGGTATGATGACACAGTCCTAGCACTTTGGGGCTCTAAGCCAGTGAGATCATACATTCATACTCAGCCCAGGCAATTTAATGATTGATGAGACTCTGTCTCAAAATAAAATTAAGTAAAGCTTGGTACATAGTTTGTGCTGATTCTCTGGGTTTACTCCCAAGTGTGTGGTATATATATGCCTATGAAATGGACTATTATTTGGTGATAAAAAAGAAAAAATGATGCTATTTGTGAATAAAATGGGTGGATCTTGTGCCCATAAATTTAAGTTGAATAAATAAGGCACGGAAATTTCATATCACGTTATTTTTTATATGAAAAAAATCAACATATAAACTAAGTAATAAAATAAAGAAACAGATGTTAGGGAGTAGGTGAAAGGTTTCAATGGGAGGTTTGATAGAATCATGGAAGAAGTACATAAAAAACAATCAACATATAGTTTCTATATGTACTGATTCCCCAGAATAAAAGTAAGTTTTATGTATTGCAATAAGTCAGTTGTAAATACCCAAATAAATACTACTGCTTTGGTAAAAGTGGTTTGCAAGCCATCGTGCAGAGTGTACAGTAAAATCATGATGAGATATTGTCAGGGCTCAGCACACAAGATATCCTAGTCAATCATTAATATAAAGAAACTTTCAAGTCTGATTGGTAGTTTTTTTTTTTTTATTGCAGAAATAGAGAGGTAGAGAAATGGTATCAGTATGAATTATGGCATCAACATAAAGAAATGGTTTTCCAGTCTCCAGATGGCCATGTGTACGTGAAAGCAGTTGATACGAAACCAGATGAAAACCTTACCTGTGGAAAGTACCTGGTTGGTCACTCAGCAAATGTGCACATCATAACTAACACTGAACTCAAAGCATGTGAGTCTCAGGGCTTTTAGGAAAGGCTGTCTAACTGTGGCAAACATGGGGAAGCCTGCCCTGAATCCCAGTCCTTTCAGAAGTGTGCTAAGACAACTCCTGGAGAGAAAGCCTACGAATGTAAGCAATGTGGAAAATCCTACTCTGATTGCACTGAAGGAAGTAACATAGAAGAGAAGCCCTTTGAATATAAACAAGATGAAAAAGGCTTTAGTGCACTGAACTGTGTTCAAATCTGAGAAAGACATCACAGTGGTGTGGATACATATGTATATATACAATGTGGAAAAGATTTTAAATCTCACCATGATGTTTGGATATGTGAAAGAACTCACACTAGAGAAAAACAGTATGTGTCTAAGGATACTGGAAAATCCTTAAGTAAAAACTCCTCATCTTGTAAACTTGAAAGAAGAAAAACAGGGGAGAAACCCTATGTAAGTAAGCAATGTGGGAAGGCTTTCAGCAGGCAGGGTGATTGTAAAAGACATGAAAGGGCTCACACTGGGGAGACACCCTATATATACAAGCAATGTGGGAAAGCTTTTGGTACATACAGTCACTGCATCCTGTATAATAACCCTCCTGTCTCTCTCTTCTCCCTTTAAAGATTTTTAAAATTATGTGTCTGTTAATTTGTTTTATATTTTGTATTTTGTGTTATGTTATCTATTGTAATCATTTTCCTATGAATATTTTTGAATTATAGAATGACTCATCTGAGTTTCCATTATTTCTCATGGGGAAATGTACTTTGATATATGAGTGCTTTGGGATCCAATTACATTTCCATAATGAATTATGCTTGCACATCAAGGTGTTACTACATATACAATATTTAATGTTGCTTATTTTTATATCAGGACCATTATTATAATATGTAAAATGATAGCTGTTTTCACCATAGAAATTTTATTGTTCTGATAATATTGCCATAACTTATTTTGGTGTTGGTCTATCAGTCATCATAAAAAAATGCATATTGTTGTATGTACCAGAGAACAGTAGGACCAGAAAACAGTAGGACCCTGTCTTTCTCAAAATATTTAGAATGAATTATAGTAATTAATCTCCTTGCAAAGTATAAATGATGATTTGATTTGTCATTAAGAACATTTGCAAAGGAATTTTTGGCAGGGTTGAACTATATTTGGGGAGAATGATTTCTATTCTTTAGATTGAAACAGCCTATTGTATTCTATTCCCAAAGTCACTGAACAATGCCTGAAATTAATAACCAACTATCTCATGATTGACAAATCTGCTAAACACATGCTGGAGTAAGAACAGCCTTTTTAAGAAATGGTGCTGGGAAAACTGGTGATTCACATGCAGAAGATAGATTCTAGATCCCTATTTCTCCCCACATACTAAATGAAAAAGAAAATGAATCAAAGATCTAAAGGTTAAAACAAAAACAATCTTCTGGGGGGAGCGCCAGTCTTCCAGCTGGCTAGCTTCCTGCCTGCTGGCTCCCTGAGGGTGAGCCCCTAGCGCACGGGGAGCCTCGGG